GCAAAACCAAAAAAACAAAAAATCTAATGTTGAGGAGAACCTTATCCGCTGGAATCCTTTGGTTGTCACACGATTTAAAGTTGTCAAATCGGATGAACATTTGTATATTTAGGAGATGGTCAAACTCATGCATCAATTATTTAACAGCTGCCTTGAAATTGAAATAAAGTGGTATCATAATTCGAAAAAAAAAATAGATTGCATGAAGTCATGTCACACGACAAGAGTGACATAGGACTTGCCCGACACACGTCACTTGTTAAACCAATTCTTGCAATGAACCTTGTACATTTGTCTTTTTTTCCTAAGAGGGGAAAGGGTAGTTAGATGTGAAAAGCATATTAGAATTTAACATTGAAAAGAAATGGGTATTCTCGAAGAATCTATTATGAATACGAGAATATGATTTTCGATTTAAGTTTTAGTATATTATTGAAAGAAAGAGATGCTCTCGATGAAATTTTTTAATTAAGTATCTTGCATTTTTTGATATAATCAAGTTTGAATTGAAAAATTATTAATTATCATAAATTTGAGTAAGATTTAAATAGTAATTTTACAGTACTCACTACTTGAATTCAGTTATCAAAAATAATTTTTAATATTAAAATTTTATTTTATATATTATGTTTGGGTTATAAGTTCTTTATAATTAATGGAAATTTAATAAATTCATTAATATATTTTTTATGAATTAATTTTAATTTATTAATTTAATTTTTATTAATAATATAAATAAAAATTAATTTTAAATTTAATTCAATCTAATATGTAATGAGTATGGATATTTAGTGGATGGTGTCTAGTATACTCAATACGGGTTCGTATAGTAATTCAAAAATTTTAATGAGTTATTTCTAAGATTAAAGTCCTATTAAATAATAAGAACTCAATTAAAAATTATAAAAAATAATAAATACTCTACCCCTTAATAATCCCTAAATTAATACTTTCTATTTTGGGTACCTAATACTTTTATAAGAAATTACGTCTTAGAAAATAAATTCAAAATATGGAAATTTATATCTTAAAAAGAAAAGGCAATATTTTGGGTACCTAATACTTTCTATTTTGACTGAGAGCACCATTGCTAGTACCTTAGGAGACATGGAACGCCTTTCCTTAACCGCTAAACTAAGAAAGAGGACCCACTTTGAAACTGACGTTACAAATCCGTAAGGCTAGTTTCTGGATGGATAAGACATACGGTAACGAGATCAAATCAAATCATATATAGTCATTAGGTGTAAAGTATATTTTACAGTGGAAGAATTCAAATTCACAAAATTATATATTAATTAATAAATTAAATATTTGAGTATATTTTACTCAATTTTATTTATTTTGTAAACTATAATATAATTATATTTAGATAAGATGCATATTCGTTTTTACTTGTCAATAATTTATGTCTTTTTGGTTAGGATGTGTGCAATTTTTTTTAATTGAAAAAAAAAGAATTGAACACTATTATTTATAAAAAAGATCATTTACTAATCAATTAATCAAATATTCGAGTGCTAATATGTGTATAACTTTTGTATAAGAAAATTAAGATTTTAATGTAATATCTTGGGTAGTCTAATTTTCATGTATATTATCTAGTCACATGATAATTGATAGGGATAAAATATCCTTATTTTTTAAATTTTAATCTAAATTTCAAATGGATTTATTAATTTTTCTAAATAGATATTTTATTTCAAAAGTGTAAATATCATTAATAAAAAATATGAAATTTTTTTTTATTAATTTTAAAAATTATTATTATTATTATTTTAAAAAAATTTCAAAAAGCATTGATTGGTGCTTCCCAACTCACTAAGAGAAGGGAGCATCGACTAATTTTTTAATTAACAAAAAATATAATAATAATTTTTAAATTAATAAATAATAAAATTATCTTTTTAATATTATTACGTTATCAAATTAATGGAAACAGTAATGATTGACTAATAGTTAAACTTATGTGTCCACTGAATGATATTATTTTTTGAACGAAATGTTCACTTTAAAAATTAATAAATTCACTTGAAATTTTTACTAAAACTTAAAAGTGAAGGTATTTTAACCTAATTAATATATTAAAATTAAAAATCTAAACATGCATGAAAATAAAATTACTGTAACTTGTAAAACAAAAATTACATTATCAATTTATCTTGTATTTTTTGTAGGTGTTGATTATATTTTATTTTATTTTTTTGTGTGTGGCATAATATTTGAAAAAATCTTTAAAATATTTAAAAAAATTTAAATAAATATTTATTTTTTATTATATTTAATTAAATAATTATATTTTTATTTTAAATCATATAAATTGTTATAATAAATAAATAAATAATTATTATTAATTAAAATATCACTTCTCACTAAATGTAACATGATGACATTATCACATTGTATTTTTCACATCAACATCAACTAAATATAAAACAATATATAATATTTTAATTAATAAAAATTAATTAATAATTAATTATGAAAACCTATTTAAACTTAAAAAAATTTTAATTAAATGTAATAAAAAATAAAAAATATATTTAAATCTTTTAAAATAATTTAAAAACTTTTTATACTATATATATTAATTATAATCAGAAAGTATCCTTTGCATGTAAATCCCGAATCTGGACGTATCTTACAAATTAAAACACGCAACTCTAAAACCGATTCTATGGACCCTTTTCGCCTTTCTACTTCTACTTTTCCTTGAAAGGCAATAGATAGAAGAGAGAATATGAATAAATTAATCAGATTTTAGAAATGGCGTAGGCCTTCGACTATTTCTATAATTACCTTAAGATGTCATTGCCCGCATCTTTCTATATTCTCCTTCTTTTTCCTGAAAATGATTGAACAAAAGGAGTTTCTATTTACCACGGCTCTTACCAATTGTGTAGCTAGTACACACAGTTGTTCAAAGACTGGATTATCTATTGCAAGACCAAATTTAAGTTGGATTTGAGTATAGATAGATTTAAATTCTGTACTCGATGAATCCTTGGGACATGGTCTATAAATGGCAGCCCAGCTAAATTTAGAAGGAAAGTAAGTTGGTGAAAGGAAACATCATTAACAGGGAAACGTAAGCGGTCCTTTAGGATTAGTTGGTGGGTCTAGTTTCTCTCCGTCGAGTCCCCCTCAAGCTTGATGTTTCCCTTGTCAGTTCAATTACAATTCAATGAATTTTGCCAGTTCCCATCAACCAAGAGTTCAAAATATGTGTGGTCTGGAAGATACATGATTACATTGCTCCATGGTTTTTGCTTTGAAGTAATAGTAGAAACAATCAGACTAAGCGACAACTCATCCACTCAGTTCTAGTGTATGGCAAGGCTAAGACGGTATCTGTTTCAGAGTAATGTTACTCTATTTAATACAGAAACATATTTAAATAAACACATAGATACCTTTTGAGCACCATCAGTTTTTATTGGCCTTGTGGTTGATTTGGTCCTATCAAACCGTCGAATAAAGATATTAGTCTGGAGTCGTTGGGCTCTCCATGTTCACCACACTCTCAAAGATGCTGCTTTAAAGGTGGAGGGCATAAGCAGCAAAGAAGTTTCAGGTGATGTAACCATTTTCTTTTCACAGACTAAGAAGGATTCGTTCTCACCCTGGATCCGGAAAGTTAAAGAAAGACCAAGATAACAATGTAGAAGATGAATGCTAAAAATAAAGCTCCGATCAAGCAACTCCAGTATGATGGTTATATCAACTGTACCTGATAGCCCTGCCATAGTAATCAACCTCAATGTAGAATTCAAGTGTCTATGCAGAAGACTCAAGATCATCTCTACTAGGCAGTTCTTCCCGAATAAGCATGAACATTTGCATATCCAATAGTTCCTCTGCCGACAATGAAATTACAGAACACGAGATTGTCAGCAAAAGAGTTGATTATAAACAAGTCTCTAACTGGAAAAAAATAAGCTCACCTGAAAATATCAGGTTGTTAATCATAACCAACATGCAGCCCACTGCTGCTATCTTTCCACTTTGTTGCTGCAATGCCGTGGTGTTGATAAGACATAACAAAGGAAATCTATAAAGAAAGCGTGGGGCTAAAATCAAATTTACTTGCCTAATCCAAGGTCAACGGGAAACAACTTAATCTCTTATAGTATAGATGGTAGACCAAGTACAAAGTTCTCAAGTTTATCATCCCCGTGCACTTAACAGATATCAAACAGGGTCAACATTCAAAGTAAAAGGTCTTTTCTGGACAATTAAGAATTTTATTATCCAAGAAGCAGCAAGCTCAGGCATAAGAAAAAAGGTAGCAAAGCTGCCACAGAGAAAAAACCAAGGCTACAAACAGCAGCAACAACAAAGCAACAACTATGCCAACTTAGAGTCACGGTATTACATAAAGCCCTGTTGATAGTAAAATTCCTAGCCCCTGAAGCCTAAATCTAACATCATCATTAACAATGAAACAAAAAAAGGGCAAAAATCGAATTTGCCTTCTCTCCATAAATCCTGCTGTTTTTCTCCCTCCACAAGTGGTAAATATAAGAACACCAGGCAAGGCAAAGGATGACTGAAGTAAGTACTGTTCCCTTAAGTTTTTCTTTAGCCCACTGGCCACTGCAATTCAGAATGCCAGTCACCATATACCACGAGCATGAAGATCTTTGTCCTAAAGCTGCCTCGAGAAATCATAAGAGAAGAAAATTTGGTCCCTTATTTTGCCACAGCTTGCAAAAGGGACAGTCAACAGAATCCAAATGCACACCTCAAGAACGAAGTCTGCTTTTGGTTGATGACCTGTCCAAAATAGCTATCCAAGTGATCAAGGCATGTCAAGGAATATGGTATTGAAACCAAATGAGTCTATGCCATTCCACATTTCTCTTGTTTGTGACTGATTTCATTCCAAACATGAGCGGCCTTGTAAGTAACACCAGGAGAGCTCCAAAATTCAACCCCACCTTTCTAAAAGTTAATAAGAAGCAGAAGCAAAGAATTCTAAACGAAATAAAAAGATTGAGACTATTCATTCGGTCATATTCTAATCTTTGGCACTTTGTGTCTCAGTGTCTCCATTTTTCTCCACTGAAGCACTCTTCTCTTCTGTGTTGTCTGTATTATCATCCACCTTAAGACTCATCCCCTCTATCGTTTCTACATTGCAATCCCTTAAATCAGGGTAATTTCTGTGGTTTAGAGAATGCAACCATAGGGCTACAACTCCTTCCTCACGTTCTGTTGAGGCAATATGAGAATATATAAACTTCATTTTGAATTCCTCTGCCTCTTCTTCATAAGCTTTCATAGACAATTCTTCATGACTATCTTTCCACTTTTGGTTATATGATGCAAAGAGGCACTCATCCAAGTACAAACCAACCTCGGGTGCTGTAGGTACGTTGATGTTCACATCCCTGAAATTTATTAAAGATATATATTAAGCCAAAAACAAAAATTCAGTCACAACAGCAACACAATTAAGAAGATACAGAACTACTTACTTTCGTAATGCAGTTTCAATCAGTGACTCAGAAGCACAATTCCTCATTACCGCAATGGCCATTCCAATCATCTTTCGAATCTGATGAAGCATGAAGCTCTGACCTACAACCTCACACTTGACAAAGTCAATGCCCTCAACATTAACAACGTTGTTCGCGTGAAATGATACGATATAGCGACGTGCAGAAGGATCTTCGGCTTTCGTTCTTGTAGTGAAGTTATGAAAGTTGTGAGACCCAACGTAATGCTTCAATATTCTATTGAACCGCTTCTTCTCTTCCTCACCATAACAAAACCTTCTTTCCTCCGCGGGTTTCTTTTCTACATTAGCTTTATCCACATCAGTAACCTCATTTTGGACAGAACTATCAGTAGCCTCCTCAAGTTCAGATGCCAGGTTATCTTCCGTAATTACATTTCCAGATTCTCCATTTTTCGAAGAAACGTCAGACTGAACTATTGTCGACTTGGATTCGAAACTACGCTTGCCCATAACACCTGCGACTTTACGGCCTCTTTCTGAGCACTCCAAGCACTTAACAAGCTCATTACCCGATCCTAAACTAGCCAAAACACTTTCCCTATCCCTATGACAATTTGGATCAAGAGCAAAAACAGGAATAAGATAAACGTACCGTCGCCGATCACAAAACTTCTTCGAGTTAAACGACGCCGTCACACGCTTATAGCCAAATATCTGAATCTGGGCAGGAAGTATCCGATTAAGGCGCTCCACTAGCCCTGGCGGGTCGATGTAGAACCGCCCAGAAACGACCTGGCCCACGGCGCTTACGCCCTTATCCGTTCGGGCCGAGCGAGCCCAATCATAGCGTTTTGGGTTGCCGCGGTCTTGCTCGGGGACGGCGCCAGAGTGGAACAGTGCTTCTTCAAGGTCGCCTTCGATGGTTTTGGCTCCTGGATTTTTTTGCATGCCTTGATAGCCGACGCCACAGTAGGCAAAGAAAATGGCGATCTTCCGTCGTTTGTATCTCTGTTTTTTGGTGCCGTTGGTGGCGGAAGCGGTTTCTTCGTCGTCGGAAGTGGTTGTAGTAGACATTTTGACCCTTTTGGGGTCTGGTTCTTGCGTCGTCGGAGACGGCGGCGGGGGCGATTTAGCTATTTTTGTGTCGGGGGTATCTGGAGTCTCCATGTTTCTAGTGTTTTAAAGCGATCGAACTCTCCACTGGCAGTAATGCAACTGTTGGGCCTTCAAGGTTGCGTTCTGTTCTTTTCTATCCCCTGATAAAACCCTAGCACAAATATATCTTACTATATATAGTGAAAAATATTCATGTTCATTTCAATATATATATTTTATAAAAAGGATTAGAACAAGTTAACTACATCATCAGTATAGGCCATGTAATACTCAAAGTATCAGCTAATGAAAAAAAAACTAAACTAGTAGTGAGGATTCAAATACATGTAACCTCAAAAATAAATTATCATTATGAGTGATCATTCAATTAGTACATTAATTTGTTTTACGATGAACATGAGATAGTAGGCATTCTTAATTCCTTTGAAGCGACTTGTTGATATTACTCAAAAGATTCGCATGAGGATCCAATGCCTTACTCTAGTTATACAATTTTTGGATAGCTATCAAGGAGTTCGTCTACACTTGTACCTTTTTTAAGCCTCTTTCCCAACAAAGTTTTAACCGCTGGTAAAGTGCCCCTAACTTGGCTGTCAAAAAAAGAAGACTCCAACTTTATATGTGAAGCCAACAATACAGTTGCCTTTATCATCACAGATTACACTTCCACCAGCTGCTTCCCTATGTTGGCCCTTTGCGCTACCATCTGCATTGAGTGTAACATATGATGGCCACGGCTTTTCCCTTGCAATCAGCACCTCGTGCTTAGCTTAACTCTTCTTTGTTCACGGCCTATATTGTCCCATGCCTCCTTAGCTTTTGTCCAGATCTGCTTCCATGCATTACTTGGCCAGATAAAAGACTTATCATGAATAGCCAAGTTACTCCAAAACCATACAAACCATAGTGTATGCACAAAAATCCAACTCCATGTAACATTCTCAAAAGATACGTCATATGATATGTTCCACATCATCCAGTCCTTCAAGCTCAAATAAAATAATTCACTATTAACAAGTTCAGGTCTAATTTGAATCCATAAACGTTTTGATGAAATACAGTCCCACAAAGCATGTATGATTGTCTCCTCAACAACTTCACAGCATGGACACAAAATAGCTATGCCCATGATATTTCTGTTTAACCAGGAGAATGTAGGGAGAGAATTGTGCATAACATGCCAGGGAAGCATGCAAACCTTCATGGAGCTTTTAAATTTCCAAATTTTTTTCCAATAATTTTCAACAATTATATTAGTCCCCATTTAATCTAGTATGCTATCTTAATTGAAAATTCACCATCATTTGTCATAAGCCAAAGTCTAGTATCACTTTCATCACTTGAATGATCTATAAATGTAGCAGCTATCATATGAACAACATGAATAGGTGATACCTGTTCAAGGTGATGAAGATTTCACTTTCTTTCTTAATCATAAAAACTCATAGTAGGTAAATCGGCTTTTATGTCAGAGAGCTCTACAATGGCAAAGTTTATCAAAGGTCTACAACTTAGCCATACATTTGTCCAAAACTTGATTAAGTGACTATTACTAATATTCATCCCAATACCTTTCTCCAACACAGATCGTGCCTTTAAAATGCTCTTCCATATATATGAGTCTGTAAGATTGGCTTGCACTGCCATAAAGTCTCTTGCTCGTAAATATTTCATCTTTAAAATTTCCACCCCGGAGCATTCTTTATCTTGCCAAATGTTCCACCCAAGTTTAGCAAATAGAGCCAAAATAAACTTTTTAGACAGATTTTATCCTAGCCTATAGCAAAATTTTCTTCTCTCCTTCCAAGTGTCCTTAGATGAAATTTCTGTTGAGACGATCCATTTCTTGAACAATGTTTTCAAGAATCAAAATAGTTTGCTTTAAATAAGATGCCATAGAGCTAGTGACAGATTGTACCAATGCAACCCGACCTGCTAGTGATAAATTTTTACCATTCATTTTGGACAATCTTTGCTTCACTTTGTTCACCAAATCCAAGTAAGTTAATTTATAGACTCTACCATGAATCATAAGTTCCCCTAAGTATTTACCAAAATCTTTGGTGAGAGGAATTTTCACTACCTTGCTTAGTAGTTTAGCTTTTCCAATGCAGACATTAGAAGAAACTAGCAGCTTGGATTTCTCCAGGCTTACTTTTTGTCCCGAAGCTTCACAAAATCTATCAAGTATATTCATCATAACCCTGACCTGATTTTTTGTAGCTACATCAAATAGCATCAAATCGTTAACAAAACATACGTGAGAGAGACAAAGGCCATGTCTTGTAAAATTGAGTGGTTTTCATTGCTCTTCTTGCACAGAACATTCTATTAAATGTGAGAGTTTCTCTAACTGCATCACAAATAAGTACAAAGAAAGGGGATCCCTTAGCCTCATTCCTCGGGATGGGGAGAAATTTTCTGTATGATTACCATTCCAAATAACATAAAATTTTGTAGTCCTTATGATGTGCATAATTAAATTTATCCAAGAATATGGTATCCCAAATTCCTCTAGCACCTCTTGTAGAAAATGCCACTTCAATTGATCATAGGCCTTCTCCAAATCTATCTTTATAGTTAAGGCCCTTCCTTCATAAAGAACTAAATTATACTCTTCAAGTAAAGCAACCTCCAAGTTTTGAAGATAGTCATTTGGCTTTTTGTAAAGGTACTGTTAAACTCCTTGGAAGTCTTTCCAGTAATCATTTTTTCCTTTTAGATAAATCACCAAAGGACTCATATTTCCATATGTCCAATGTATTTGCTAATTTCTTCAAGGTTAAAGTAAGATTACCACCATCTTCGAAATTCTAAGTCTCTCTCACAACTTTATCAAATCCTGGATGAAACAGCCAAGTCTCTTTAAATATGAATCTCTTATTCAACTGTTTGCATAATGAATTACTTTGGCACTGCATACAATAACATGATTAGAGCTGTCAATATGGGTTGGCCCGGTCCCCCGCTCCAGCCCTTGTGGGTAAAAAAATATGGTTGGGTCAGGTCAGTCCATTTTTTTATATGGCCATTAAAATCTAACCACCCACTTCTTATTAGCTCATGTTGGGTTGGGTCAGCCCATTTTTATTTTTTTTAAAAAAATTATTTTTATAATTTTATTTGATAAATTTTTTATTAATAAAATTATTTATGATTTAATTCATAAATTAATAATAAAAACATGTTACAAATAAATAATAATTATACAAATATAAAAAAATAAATAAATTACATAATAAAGTTTAAATCTTTAACACAAACTACTATCTTATAAACATAAGTATATAACCAAATAATAAAAATTTCAAGATTCATTTATATCCTCCTCAATCTTCATTCTCAAGTAAAACATTTAAATCTTGTTTAGACAGCAATGATGTTTCAAGGTCTGAATTATTATCAATTTATCATCTAATATTCATTACCATAAAAGAAAAAAGAGATAATAGTTTTAATTTAAATTAAAATTTTTAATTTGACAAGTGAAGATTAAAGACATTGAAATATATAAAATAAAAATACTATTAGTAACAAATTATTGATTTTTATAATTAAATATATAAATTATTAATTAATTAAAATTATTTTTTTGACCCATAAGGCCTGGCCGCTACCTAGCCCACTGATTTGCTGGCTGGCCCATTTAGGCTCGATTAAATATGGATTCACAAATTTTCAACCCAACACACCCATATTTAATAAAAAATGAGCCGCGGGATGGGCTCGCCCATTTTGATAAGTCTAAAGATGATGATTGGAGTGAGCTCAAGGGAGGTTTAATACATAAGTATATGGAAATAATTGCAGCGGTGCTCATTAACCATTACTCTATCCAATCTTTCTCTAGTGTATGCCAGGCCATCTCTTTTTTTGCTTTTATGTGTATTTTGGATCCAGATGCACTTAAATTACAAAAGCTACAATAATTTAAGTAGTTAATCATCTAGTTACATTGAGAAAAATTCACGCTATACCTCTTTATCTTTTCATCAGTTGAAATAACTTGGTTGAAATCTCCCATCATCAACCAAGGCAAAGAATGTAGTTCGCTAGCTAGGCATAGAAATTGCCAGAGCCTTTTCCTTTCTCTTGTCTTAGGTCTTCCATAAACTACTATTAAAAGCCATTTACCTTTTGATATTACAACTATAGCATGGATTAGTTGTGATGAGTATGCCAATATTTCAACCTGTAAATGAGGCTTCATCTCTATTCAACCGTATATAAAGGCCTTTTATTGCTGCTTCATTGGTTTCTTCATCCGAATCTAAATCATCAATTAGATCTTCTTCCACTTCAAATTCCTCATCAAGTTGTAAGGTTTCTTGGTCTCTTTACATAAGAATATTACGATAAAACAATTTGGCAGCGTCTTCTGCATCTAAAGCATGTTCAGCATCAAGGGAAACATTTTGTTGAGTTGAATCAGAATTTGAATCCAAGCAAAACCTTCCTCTTTTTAATCCTACTTTTATTGCATTCAGTTCTTTATTTTTTGCTACCGGCGGTGGTGGATCCTGAGTTGGATTTGCCTCCATGAGGCATGATGTGCAAGATTTTTCCAATACGGTGTAAGATAGAAACAATCTCTTAACGTGTGCCTGTAGAGAAAACCTAAACCTCTAGTATTTTACGAAAACCTTTATTTCACTACATTTTTAAATTATCATTTTTAATATTTGCATTATGGAAATTAATAATATTTATTCAAATTGTAAATATTTAAAATTTTATTCAATGCATAACTAAAAATTCAAATTGCATTGAAAAACTTTCTTTAATTTTTTTCTTAATTATACAAGTATTAAATAATTTATAAATTAAAAAAATAAAATTTCAATTATATATATAATAAAAACATTAATTATCTTACAATATAGTCATCGTTTATTTATAAACAAATTAACTTTACACTTTAGAAATATGTATATTTTATATATAAGTATTATATAAAAATAAGTAGAGGCTAAATACAAGTACAATAAATACTATTTTATTTAAATCTACTAATTCATTTATTTATTGTTGTTTTGAATTATATTTAATTTATTAAAAATTGTAAGAGTAAATAAAAACACACTCTACGGTTGGAGGCAGATGAATTTCCTCCTGAGATTTGAAAAGTAGCATTAAACTACCTTGTGGTTAAACATTGTCAGCTTATTTTTTTCTTTTCCTTTTCTTATTAATTATCTTGAAATAAAATGTGTTAATAATTTCAAACAAAATAAAGCTCAAGTTGGTTAATTTTCAGTTTATAAACCTTAGATAATTTTTTTTTGTAATTTATCAAATCATAATTGCAATATTCAAGAATTTAGAATTAATGATTTATTATGAATAACACAATTATAAAATCATAAATGTAACATATCATGGAGGAAAGATCAATTTATATCAATATAAATTTAATGGCATAATGCTAAAATAAGTTTCTAAATTATTCAAAAATATTTAAATAAACCTTTATTCTTATATTATATTTAATCAAACATCTGCATTTTTATTTTGAATATAATAAGTCTTTATTACTAATGATTGACTAATTGTTATTATTGACACTTGTCATTTTATATTCACATAGCACTGATATGGCATTGACATGGAAAGTGAAAAATGTTACATGATCATATTATTATGTCAATCATCAATTATGATATGGCATTAATTATGACTAATTAAAAGTATTGACGATAATGAATTCAAGATTTTACATGAAGCACCTACTGTTCCGTGCTTCAATGCCAGCAACCGCTGCATACCAAAAGCCAACAAATGAGAATGAATCAGATTCATTGAACGTGATGCATTTTAGTGCGGTGCAAGCAAGAGAATGTGTGCACAGCATGTTTTTTGTAATTGCATTCATTCATTCTGAAAATGAAACTAGCAAAGTTTATGGCAATAAATTTCATGTAATCATTATTATTAATATCAATTCAACCGAAGCAAAGAGGCATCAATATAATTCTACATGAAAATTTGATGTATTGAAAGTATGAACAAGAAATCAAGCCTATCCTCAAAAAAGAAAAAGTAAAGACAGAAAGAAAAAGCAAAGTGCGTGCTTCTTACACAAGCAATTATTCATCTGAGATTACGCATATAGTTATGTTAAAAACACAAAAACTTAACTATTTTAATTTATTTCATGAAAATGCAGAGCAAGAGAAATGGGTTCGCTAAGATTTAAGTTATTTTCCTTATAATTCTTGGACTTAAGAGTTCAAAAAACTTGTAAAATGCACATTTCTAAAGCAGGTAAAAAGGAACAGCATGTTATCACTTTCCCAACCTTTCTTGGCTACCAAACGGGAGACGATCAAAGAGAAGAGGAGGAGAGAAACCTTGCATACCAGAAAAGGAAGCTTAGAAGGGGTTTTTTTGGAAGGTTGTCAAGACGGAGTGAAGTATATATATACAGTTGGGCATTAAAACTAGGGGCTTGGGCTTGGGCTTAAAATGATCAGTACTTCTGCCATTACTCTTGTGCTAGCACTGGCAAGCCTGTGCCTTTTTGCTTAGGTCCAAGTAAAAAAATAATGTAGACATGACCTGCCTAGACCGCATGTATGGTCTGAAGGAACTCATTAGCCGTTAGCCCAAGCTAGGTCGAACCCGCAGCCATGCCAAGTAAGCGCGGTTATTCATACTTAGCCCATATATCCATCTTTTTAATTTTTCTTTAATTTTTTAATCTTCTTTGAAAGTATTTATGAGTATTTTGATCCTATAATTAAATCTAAATTACATAATTTTATCCAATTTTTGATTCATCGATTATAAATAAATGACATGTGTATAGTATATAACAATTTTATTAATATTTATTTAGTCGGAAGAATCAACGTTTCCATTAATAAGTTTTTAAGAACATGTTAGTTGGCCTTGGGCCATGTTACTTTGATTGCCCCTATTTATGAGTTGTGTTTGTTATGAAATTTTTTGTAAATTTTATTTTGAATTATATAAGCCAAAGTAGTTGTTAATTTTGAGAGGGATTTTAAAAAAAAAAACCTTTAAAGATAAGATATTTTCAAAAATAACCTTTTTATAATTTTAAATATTTTTAACTAAGTTAGACAAAAATACCCTTAATGAAATTACATGCGATGATATTACACATCATGTATAGAAATATGTTACACACTATGGTTAGGTTATTACACGTCATGTACAAAAATGTATGACACACTATGTATAAAAACGTGTGAGACGTCATGGTTAGGTTATTACACGTCATGTACAAAAACATATTACACGTCATAGTTAAAAAAGGTTGTTACACGTCATATTAAAAAAAAAAACTATTGTTACATGCCATGTTGAAAAAATATTATTGTTACATGCCATATTCAAGAACATTTTGTTATACTTTAATATCTAAACTGTTATTTTTACTTATAAACCAAAACTTCAAATCCTCTCAACTTTCTTTATTTCTTTTTTTTTTTGACAATTTGGTACCTATTAAAATATTTCTAACATATTTTTATAAATCAAAACATAAATTTTCTTATCAAAAACACCTATTTTGACTAAAAATGAAAAAAAAATTCATTTAAAACCTAGATTTATAAATTTTAAAAATTTGAATTTATTGATATCTAGATCCCGAATTAATCCAATTAAAAGCTATTTCAAATATATGTAATTATTTTTATTTTTTAGTTTTATCCAAAATACCTAAAAATTAAATTCTTCAAATAGCTATCCACTCAAGCACATTAAAATCATCGTTTGGTGTCTTCAAAGTCCTAAAAAGAGAAATCTGAAACGCTAGAAAGAGAAATTAGGAGCATAGTGGACAAATGCCAACAAAAGAAATCGATAAAATTAGAGAGAAAAGGATGTTGAGAGAGAGAAATTGAAAGCACAAATGAAAAAAAAATTGTGATAAATAATTTAATTTATTTAAAATAATTTCAAAAATATTTTTATCAAATGATGACTAAATATGACTAAAAACAGTTAAATTTATTTTGATGGTTTACGAAATGTCATTATCAAGAAAGGTTATTCCTCACAATTTTTTCTAATTCTAATTGATTTTAATTTTAAAATGACAAAACATTCAGCTAATTTGCTTGCTGAATCATATTGACAAGTTTTATTTGATAATTTCTAATGTACATAAGGTTTTCTTTAATGCTTAATCAATGATTCCTCATAATTTTTGAAAAAGAGCAGAAGGATACATACGGTAATTCTTTAAAATTATAGGTTTGGGCTGAAAATAATAAAAGAGTTGAAATTAAGATGAGTTTTTTAATAAAGAACATATAGATAGGATTTTCCCTATGTTACTTTTATCATTACAAACGTATATTTGGAAACTACTGCAACAGCTAAGCTGCTTAAAATGAACTATATATCAAGCAAAAGACTATAATTAAATTTTAGTAGACTTTAGTTGCTACTGCTGAGACCATTGTGTTAATTCCACACATAGCATGGCCCCGGCAAAGGCGATAATAACCATGTTCTCCCCACCTTTTGCCCCATGAATTCTTGATGATCCAATAGGGCTGATAGCCAAACCTGAGAATGGAGAAGCCCTTTGCTCCATACCCCACAAGTAAAACTCCATGGTTGATCCATCTCTTGTCACAAATTATTGGACATGAGACACCACCAATGTAGGTTTGCATGAAGAAAGCATTCAACCCGACTGCAATGTAAAAAATCATTTCATTAGTCACATCCAACCTGAAATCCATTTTCGTTTTCTAGATTTACAACCATTCTTAAATCAATATATCTATGAGAGCAATCTAGTCATAAAATGAACAGTTGAAGATTTTATGGTGGCATACATCTTTGCAGAAAAGGATGTCATAGAACAAGCTCTGGTATTGGTTTCGCAGGAAAACTCACCAGCTAAAGGACCGTGAAGGACTAAATTCGCTGCAATTTGGTTTTCGTCAATGGGGATATTAGTAAAATTCACAACTTTAACAGCAACTTTTTCTGGTTTGAATTTGCAGTCTTCACGTCTCCCTGTATATGGGTATGAATTCTCATCCTCTAAACCCCCTGACTCGATCAAATACTTATAGGCATTCGTCATGAGGCCTCCACTGCAACCATTGTCACATGCAGTCTTATCCTTTACATCACACTTCATGAAAAAGCAAAGCATCAAAATGGGGGGCAAAAGGAGAAAAAAAAAAAAGAATAAATGCACAGATCAGAAAAGATTAAGAGAAGGGAGAAATGTCAATGGATAGCTTGTAGGTAGTTAACATAGAACTCCATTGAAGAGGTTTGGCCCGTTCAATATGGTATCAAGATTATGAACAATAATTCAGAGTATATATATATATATATATATATATATGAAACTAACCATTTGATCACAATCTACAAGCTGTTGTTCACTTAGACTTAAAAGCTTCCCGGTTGCTACAAAATTCGCTCCTTCAATAGCCCCTGTGGTGCTAAAAGCCCAACATGATCCACATGCGCCCTACATTGATCATGGACAAGCTCCATTAGGAATAGTAATAACAATGATGACAAGTTTTCCAACATATGAATTATCATTTTATTAACTTCAAGCCTAAGAAAGGAAACAAATCAATAAAGCCTGAATCAAAACAAGTGTGGTTTTACCTACACGTATGAAGAATAGAGCTGAGGGTCTATTCTTTGCAAATTTTTCACAAATTTTCCTTTTTAAAAATGGCATAATGGAACAATACGAGAAGAAAATTTTCCTTTGTTATTTTCTTCTTTTGACAAGATCAGATATTGAACTTGCTCATATATGTTCCACTCAGAGTCTATATTTGAATACTCATGGCAATTTAATATATATATATATATGTATATATAATAAGCTCATTTGGTAAATCAGCAAATTTGCGATGCTTATAGCATCCTGACACCTTCAGCTCCACCAAATTTTGTAACAAGATACCGAATTCATTGATTAAATTATTGGTTTATCAACAGCCCAAAAACTGTCAACAATTATAGATGAAAAAGTGAAAACTCAGCGCGTCAAATGAATATATCATACAAGTGTTTTGTACATCATATATTTGAGAACATAAAGAGAGTATTAACTCATTAAAAAATGTACGAATTACTTGTATTAAAGCTGTCAAAATTGACCCGAACTCAAAAAAATTACCAGATTCTCTCAAATCTAGACTCGACCTAACTAATTTGATCAAAACAATTCAACAACACAAACCACCCAATCGGCCCGAAACAATTAGAACTTAAATTGAATACAATTATATTTAAATATTAATTTAATTAAAATTAATAAATATAACACTAATGATTAGTCTACTAATATTTAATAATTTTAAATTATCTTTTGAAATCTTTTTTTCTTTACTATTGCGCTTTTACATCTTTTTGGATATTGGCTAAAAAACAGTTAAAAAAAACAATTTTTTCTGTTAATATAATTAAATTCAAGTTCCACAATTACGTCATGAATTTTTTTTTCACCCTTAAAGAAATAAAAAAAATATAAAGAGATAATATAATAAATTTAAAAACAAAAAACGTATAATTCTTAAATTATTAAATGAGTTCACTTTTTTTTATATGATTTAATTATTTTTTATTATTTTATTTCCATGATATGATCATCAAAATTGAAAGTATGCTACAAGTTGGAGAAAGTATGATTTTGAATAACTTAATTATAGTTCATAAATTAAGGATTAATCTAAATTAATGATCCATCCAAATCCATTTGAATGACCAGAACACATATATCTCAAGTGTCAAATCCAAATACTCAAAACTCAAAACGATCTAAACCCGACCAATTGCACCATTGCCACCTCTACTTATATATCTTAATTTTATGCTTGAGTTGAAATTCACAATTATCAATACATAATCACTCAAGCAATGCTTGTTATGGGTTGCTTCACAAAAGTTACCTGCACTTCTTCCATATATAAAGTATAATTAGTCACTTTGGAAGCCCCTAATATCTATCCCTGGTATCATCAATTTAACAAAAACAGTATACGAGTGTAGACAAAAGGTGATGTACCCTACCTGCATCTTGACCTCAGTTACAGCTCCCTTCTCTCTCCAATCAAAACTCTCAGGCAACCAATCAACCTCCACCATCTCTGCTTCCTTCCCAACACCATCCATCAACCGTGGCGCCGCCGCCCCCATGCCGCCCTTCACCCCAGTGTAAAGCCTCTCAAATTCCTCCTCTGACAGATCAGAGAACTGTGTAACCCCATGCACAGCCATGGGATCAAGTACCTGGTGCTCGGCAGCCCTGATCAAGTTCTTTGCGAAGATCCCAAGGCGGTGCATGTACTCCTCCCTTGTGGAGTAGTTCTTCCCATACTTTTCCACGAAAACTTGGAACTCTTTGTGAATGTAATTTCTTGAGAATTTCCTATTTAAGGTTGGGATTAGATTATCTGTGACTTGGAGTATGGTGGGTTCTTGTGGGATTTCAGCGAGAGCTAAGCAAAGAGAGAGGATGAGGCTGAAGATCAAGGCTGCAATGGCGGTGGTGCATGTTAGAGTTAGGCTTTGTCTTCCTTTCATTTTCTTCTTCAGGTTTTAGCTTTTCTTTTTTTTCTTATTTTAGAACCGTTTTGCTTTGATGATTTAAAAGAATTTATGGTTTCTTTCAGAATATATGTGATTACTCTATTGTCCATGGGAGGGAAAACCATAATTTTTTTTTTACTTAGAAAAAATAAAAATTTATATTTTTATTATTAAATTAAATACTCAAATTCAAATAATAATTTTATCTACATAAAAATATACTCCAAAGTTTGAATTTGATTTTCTTTGTATCAAATATGAAAAACTTGGAAATTCACAATTAATAATTTAGAATGTAAGCCTTTTTAAGGGATTGTAATTGTTAAGCATAAGACATGCATGTGATGCATTACATTAGGGAAAGAAGAAGTGAAACATGGAGGGCGTTTTTCTTTTTTAAAAGATTTGTTGAAGGGTGTATTATTAGGGGTATAATATTTAAAATATCATTAAAAATAATATTTTGAATTATTTAATATATTAAAAAATATTAAACTCTCCATTTCAATGTATTTTGTCGTCAAATTAATTAAATTTTGACTATTATTTTTTGAAAATATCTTGTAAGTTTTTAATTTTAATTAAATTTAAGATTAGAAATATTTGAATTCAAAATTTTTAAAATCATAGATTTTATATTATATTTATTTGATTCAAACAGTAAACAAAGATAAACAAATAGAGCAAGAAAAAATGATTTACTTAATGGATTATTGAATTTAATAGTGGAAGGGTATAATGGTAAAGTGCGAAAAGTCGGTGCATGCAAAGGTCTGTGGCGAGCAGGGGACACTTGGGGTTCCTAAAAGAAGGGTATATGTCCTAGGCTTGCTACGTGCATGCCATGCATCGCTGCCTGGTGTTGTCAAAGACCTTTATTTTGCCCTTTTTCTCTATTCTAGACTTCTAGTCTTTCTGATTATGGGTCGGGTCTAATTTTATTGCATATACAAGTTTAAGTTCAACTACAGGCCCGGTCCATTCATTGTTATTTAAATATATTTTTTAAATTTTAAAATTTTAAAATTAAACAAAAACATATTATTAGTTAATATAGTAATAATATTGAGTATAGATATTTGTGTCCAAGCTTAATCGAGCATGCAGCACCGACGGAGCCAAGGGAATAGCAAATGGTGTCATTTTTTAATTTTTAATTTTATTTATTATTATATGTATAGTTATAATATAATTATTTTTTAATTACGTTTTAATTATCTCTTATCTAAAATCTTGAATTCACTATTAGATTTGAGTGGATGTTCTAACTCTTGGATATCTCAAATCTAAAGACATTCTCATCAATACGCATATTATAATAACAATTTTCATATAATAGTAATTGACAGATGATAATATTATGATTTTAATTATTGTATTAAATGAATATATATTTTTTAAATAATAAACTTAGTAAATGCTTCATCTTTAATGAAATTATGATCATAAGATCATTGGTGAATTCGAGACTTACATTAAATCGCAATTTTATTTTATTTTTCATATGATGAAATTTTGTATTAATGTAGCACCGAAAATTAACTATAATTAAAATAAAATCACAAAACAAATCATGTATGAAATTTATATGAGTTCTTACAATAATAAGGGAATTAGTTATCCATGCAAAGTTTTAAAGTTAATTCAATAACTATATCACATCAATAGAGAGTATTATCTTTTTCAATATATGTTTAATGATTGAAATTTTATTATGATCAAATATTTAATTAACTTAAAATTTGACACAGCATTATTTTTATTATAAAGCACTATACAGTTTTTATTTTTGAGAGGTATGCAATTGATTTGTTAACTGTCAAAGCAAATTACTTTGGACTTAATGATTACAATTAAAATAAAAATAAAAAGCAATAAAACAAACCCCTCAACAGCATAAATCCAGACTTAGGGATATTCGAATTACCATAAGAAAAATCTAAAACAAACTTACCCACATTAAACCACCAGACTTTCCTAAAGCACTTTATAGTTGAATTAAAAAAATATAAATCATGTAAAAAGATATAAAATGATCTAAAAATTTAATTAATTTTGGTGTAATATACAAAAAAAAAACTTCTAAAGTATTCAAGAAAATTCAAATAAGCCTTTATATTTTTATTGTGTTCAATTAAATTCTTATACTTTTATTTTGAACTAAATATTTTATTTTGAGTCAAATAAGTTCTTATACTTTTTATTTTGAGTCAAATAAACTCTTATGACTATCAATTGACTTAGGCAAAATATCATTTACTATTTTTTATTATATGATGCTGACATTGTATGTTAAAAAATCATAATTAATTATGATGTAGCATACTAATGTATCATAATTTATAATAACATAATATGTTAATTTGATATGATAATATGATCACGTAGTATTTTTTACTTTTATATCAATGTCATATCAGTGCTATGTGAATATATAATGACAAATGATATATTTAATAATAATAATTAATCAATCATTAATAATAAAAATTTATTTAATTCAAAATCATTTATATATCTACCATTTGTATACAAATGGATGGTATGATTATGGTGGAGAATTCTGGACATGCACACGCCATGAATATGGAGCCAATTTTAGTCGTTATAGGCGGGACTAATAGTCTTGGAGCAGACATTAAGGAAGAGTAATCTGACAAAAAAACCATGGATAAAACACAGTTATCACAATCCAAAAGTGCTACCAGATCTAGAGAGTATCGGGCAAAGAAATAGGTAAGAATTATCTAACTTCCTCGTATTTTTCTTTCTGATTCTGATTAGTTTTTGAAATTAATATGCTGTCTTTTTAAGAGTATATACTCTTACTTGAGAAGATTATTTAGATAACGATAACATAATTCATTAGTAACATAGTATACTTAAAGGGAGTATATTCTTAAACCCAAATTTTGTAAAGCTAAATAATTACTAGAATCTTAAAATTAGTTTGGTTTTGTGTGATTATATATAATTTCTCTTACTTGCATTTAATTTACAAAAACAAAATGTAAAAAAGAAATTGTTTGCATATCAAAATAAATATTTTTATTTTTTTATTAAAGTTGATTTTTTTAAATAATGAATGGATTTATATTTGATACACTACCTATTAGATCATTAAAATGTAACACTTTATTAATACGGTAAAATTAAATTTCATTAAGAACTTAAAATCAATAATTAATAATTTTTAAAAAATTTTTTCTCTCTCCAACTTCCTATCAATTGTTATTTTCTAATTTTCATTTTTTTTTATATCTCTCCAACTCCATCATCTTCTTCTCTTTTGTTTTTTTTTTCTTCTTTCATTAAAATTAGATTTTATAAGATTATACAATTTTAAGAGCAATGATATTAAAAGGCTTTACTTTCTCTCTAAACTCTCTTCCATTAGTTCTCCACTTTGCACGATTATTATCTCTAAATATCAGCTTCAAATTTTTGTTCTATCCACCCACCTTGACTCCAAAACAACCCTCAAACCAGACTCCTCTTGCCTATTCACAGGAAAGGATCATATGCTCCATTGTTTCCTTATCTTTAGCAACAAAAAAAAAAAAGAATAAATAAAAAGGATTATCCTTCAGCTTCCTTTTCCACATATCATGGCCAGTTGAGATTGAATCACAAAATCTCTGTAAAGAATTCTTAATTTTTAGTTGAAGCTTTCGAGGTCAAATTTCATTCCAAACATTGTTGTCAATAACATGAGATGAAGGTGGTGATTTGGTGATGCTAATTTCCTGCTCCTTTCTCATTGTGAGGCCATTGACATTTTTGAATATCCCCAATAGCCTTCTTTGCTTGGTCTAGAATCAACTGCTCTAATTTATGAGAAACACCAAATCCCTTGGTCTGTCCTTCCTAGTTTCTATTGACAATCTTGTTTATATTATTTTGTAGGAGTGCTTTTGCTGGGATGGCCAATATTGTACTGTTTGAGGATGTTTTCCCAGTTACTTTCCTGGACCAGATGTTAAACGAAAGTAACAACATATCTTATTCATACTGTTTATTTATAAAGTTTGTTATTTGGTTTTACCTTAACATTATTTGTCTTTAGTTCTAGACTTTTAGTTTTCTGTAGAATGAATGACAATTAAGTACTCTGTCATTCACATTAGTTTGCTTTTGCTATGTAGCAGTTACTCACAATTAAGTACTCTGTCATTCGCATTAGTTTGCTTTTGGTATGCAGCAGTTACTCGCATTGAAGCACACATGGATGCCTCTACATTGAATTTGGATAGAACACCTTACACTAGCGATACCCCGGTAACTTATTCTTTCTATATAGAAGCTGCACATTCTGTGATGGCATTTTCTCTGCCTAGAAGGAGGATATTCTTATTTAAAGTGAAATTGATGGTTTCTAGTCATTGTTATGATAGCTTCATTCTCTTTTGTTCAGCTTGGAGTCTAACACATAGCCTTTCATTGTGTTTCTAATAATTTTTGGGTTTCCAACAGAAATCTTCTTCGCTTTTGCCGTGATTAATTTAATAGGTCTCATTTGATAAATTTATGTTTTAATTTGTTGAGAAAATCTAAAAATATAGACAAAGACCCCCCACCACGCTTATGCATAAGAAGAACACACTATAATGAAGGGATGATTAGTCCACTGATTAGTCCACTAATGTTGCCTAACAAATTCTACCCATATAGGGGAAAGAAAATCTTGCAACCAACTATGAATGTGCCATGTGTGGGAGGCTATTGAAGACCAGAATAGAACAAAAAGCGCACCCAAGTAGTGGAACAGAGGTAATCACTACAAAGTATGTACACCAACTCCTACCTGGGGCAATTGTTTTTGGTTTTTGCAAGTTCTATCTCCTACTGCTGTGAACTGATATTTGCTAGCATTGTTAATCCATTGTTTACAATGTAATGTAGTTTGTTCTTTTAATGTTTTATTCACATTGGTCTGTGGAGTAGCTTTAAAGTTTTCTCATCTGACATCTAAATTTCATTTTGCTTTCCTTCTTGGGGCAGATATTTGT